CTAGCCACACCTGCAGTGGTCTCACTCAGCTCTGCTCTTTTAAGCATGGAATGAGCTGGACGTCCACGAAGGTAGGCACTCTCTCCTCTTGGCCATCTCATTTTTAGCCTGTGGAAGGTAAACTGTGAGCAACCGTAGGCTGGTTGGTAAAGAAAATAAAGCCCAAGGATGTTCAAGACAGGAAGTGGCTGCCAGTCAGTGTGGGTTGGAGAAGATACATGCTCCTGTTTGCGTGTGTGGTTCACTCATTGGCCCCATTAATTCCTCTCCCTGAGCCTCAGGTTTCTCATCTGTGAAATGGGGCTAGTAACTGCCTTATTGAGGACCAAGCGTGTGGCATCTAGTTCAGTGCTAAGCAAATATTCACTTAACCAGTCAGTCAGCATGACTTAACAAAAGCTTGCAATTGTCCAGGCCAGTTGTGTTAGCTGCCCCACCCTCTGGAAGGATATGGAACAGGTCTGGGCTGAGCTGGGAGAGGGCTGTGGGCAGACAAGGGATCTGCCTCTCAAGGGCAGCCCTGGAAGGGGCATAAGGTTGGGGGCTTGAAGAAAGAGCAGGGCTTCAACAGGCAGAGGGGTCAATTCTGGAGGTCAGAAGTCTGACCTGGGTCTCACTGGGTTAAAACTAGGGTGTTGGCAGGGCTCTTTCCTTTCTGGGGGCTCTAGGGGAGAATCTGTGTTCTTCCTTGTCTAGCTTCTAGCGGTCGCCTGCACTCCTTGGCTCGTGGCCCCTTCCTTCTTCAAAGCCAGCAACAGCTGGTCTAGTCTTCCGCACATCACATCACTCTGAGCTGACTCTCCCACCTTTGCTTCCACAATTAAGGACTCTGGTTTCATCGGGTCCCCCCAGATCATCCAGGATAATGTCCCTGTCATTATCCTTAATTCAGTCTGCAACCTTAATTTCCTTTGCCACATAACCTAACATATTCACAGGTGCCAGGGATTAAGGGATACTTTGGGGGAGCACTGCTTTGCCTGCCATAGTCCCTGCCCTGTTCTGGGGGATGAGGAAGTGAGGATAAGGACGAAGGAAGCCCCAGGTGGCTGTGTGGTACCCGCCGGCCCTGCATTACTCCAGCCTCTGGGTCACATCCTCCAGCCTTGACTCACCTTTGCCACCTCCCTACTACCACCACTGTGGCCCCATTACTAGCGAGTCTCTCCCAAACCTGGCACTCCTCCTGAGTGTTGGTCATAATGGTCATTAAATAAAGCAGCATTTCTCCAATTCGGCACTATTGACACTTTGAGCACATTGCTCTCTGTTGTGGGGTGCTGTCCTGCTCATTAGACAAGGTTTAACTGTATCTCTGGCCTCTACCTGCTAGATGCTGGTAGCACCCTCATCCAGTTGTGACAGCTCCAAATATCTCTAGACACTGCCGAATGTCCCCTGGAGGACAAATTGCCCAGGGGTTGAGAACCACTGAAATCAAGCCTTTGATGTTTGTCTTCCTTACTAGATCGGGCACCCAAAGAAGGAAGCCCCAAGAGGGTGACACCCCGTCTGTCTTGCCCGTCCCCATGTCCCCAGCACCTGCATAGGGCTCGGCATTTACTAGGTGCTCTACACATACTGGTTTAATGAATTAATGAATTTTGTTCATTTTCTTTATTTTTAAAGTTTTTGGTGTTAATTTTCTTAATGGATAAATTAACCTATAAAAAAGTGTGTGTGTGTGTGTGTGTGTGTGTGTGTGTGTGTGTGTGTCTTAAATAGACTCCTGTTGCCATAGACTGGCTACCTAAGAATCGCCTGGGGACCCTTTTACGTAGCCTGACTCCTGGGTTCCAATCACAGAGAGTTGGGGCTTAGGCTGATGGGGTGCAGCCTGGGAGTCTGTATTGTCAAGAGGGCTTCACCAGTTCCTCAGAAAAGGGAAACATAGAATTACCATATGATCCAGCAATTCTGCTCCTAGGCATATACCCAAAAGAATTGAAAGCAGGGACTCAGATATTCAGAGCAGCAGTATTCACGGTAGCCAAAAGGTGGAAACAACCCAAGTATCCATCAACAGACAAATAAATAAACAAAATGTGCTGTATGCACACAATGGAGTATTATTCAGCCTTAAAATGGAGTGAAATCTGACACTTGCTACAACATGGATGTACCTTGAAGAAATCATGCTGAGTGAAATCAGCCAGTCACAAAAGAGCACATCTTGTACGTCACTTGTGAGGTCCCTAGAGTAGTCCAATCAGAGAGACAGAAAGTAGAAAGGTGGTTGCCAGGGGTAGAGGGGAGTGGAAGCTGGTGTTTGATGGGTATAGAGTTTCCATTTGGGATGATGAAGAAATTCTGGAGGTGGACGGTGGTGATGGTTGCACAACAATGTGAATGTGCTTAATGCCACTGAATTGCATACCTACAAATGGTTAAAATGGTACATTTTCTGTTATGTATATTTTACCACACACACGAAAGTGCTTAATCCCAGCCAGATCTGGGAACAAATAGTGTGGGAATCAATGGGGGCACAGGGGGCGCAGACTGGCTGAGTTCTAATGGCCCTTTTAAGCCTCGGAGGCGGAGCTGATGGGGATGGGAGCGTCGGACTTGGCTGATTTCTCAAGATGGCGGCCCTTCCCCGGGGGATGCACGTAACTAACCTTTACAGGGGCCAGGCCAGCTGCCGGCTGGAGGCCACTGTCCTGTCCACAGGGGCAGCCGCCGCCCAGCTCCAGCTGATCCTGGAAGAGAAATGCAGGAAGAGAAGTCCCAAATCTGGATTCATATATAACATCTCCATGTTTAAATCTTGACACCGGGTTCAATGAACAGGCAAACAAACCAACAAGCCACACGTGGGTCCAACAGAGCAGCTCTTCAGGCCTCGGGCCCGGGGTGGCGTCTCTTCTCGGTGGCTTGGGCCTCAGCTGGAGAGATTCGAGTTCTGTTTCCTCCTACCGGAGGCCATATCACTTCTGAGGTCCGATGCCAGCTTCCTCTTTGATACCTGGGAGCTTCCTTTGCTTTCGGTGCTCCCGAAAGGGAGCTTTATAGACAGAAGGGTGAGTGTGAATGCCTAGGGTCTGGATTCTGCTCAGGCTGGGGTCTTGGCCCTGCCATTTGTGAGCTGTGGGGCTATAGGTGACTTGCTTCTTTCTTCCCCGCGCCTCAGTTTCCTTGTCTGTCAAGTGGCAATAGTAATGGTTCTGCCTGGGAGAGTTAGAGCAGGGACCAGGGCAGGGCCAGCAGAAGGGCTCTGAGGTGTGTGCGGACGTGTGATGGTGTGTTGGTGCCGGCTGGAGCAAAGAGCACAGTGTAGTCGGACAGGCCATCAGCTGGTGAGTTACGCAACATCGGACATCTGTTTCTACATCTGTGATATGCCCAGTGATTTCCTCCTCCACGAGTCATTCTGAGGATTAAGTAAGATAATGTTCAAACAGTGTCTGGCCACAACGTGAGCCCCACACACATTTGTTTTGTTCCTTGGAGGCTGCGGCCTTTGACCTTTGTGGAGGCTTGAGCAGAAGGGGCTGGGGCTGGTTGGCTGGGCTGAAGACAGAACGAGCAGAGAGCTGGGAAATGGACAGTGTCCTGCCCCTCTGCCGTCAGCTCCCTCCCCTCCTTCCTGCCTCCCTGGGTGGGGGTCCTGGTCCCATCCTCAGAAGCCCACCCACTTGCTGTTCAGGAAGGTGGCCTCAGCTTTGCAGGGCAGTTGGATGAGTTGGGAATCTCCCTTTATTGAGATCAGCTCTGTGCCAGCACCGGCACACGCTGGGCCAGGGGCGGGCCCAGAGCCAAGCTCCTCCGGGTGTCCCTGGGTTGGCTGGCTGAAGAAAGGGGCCTTGCCCTGCCCAGACCCTCTCTGGGGGTCAGAGGCTGGGGGGAGCATCCCGGGGTGCTGAGGGCCTGGCCAAGATCTGGCGTCTCTTTAACTGGCCCCAGACTTCGCGGGTACTTGAGGTGGTGATCACATGAAGGGGGATAAGAAGCCCTTAAAATTCCGAGACGCTGAGGGACCTAAAGGACTATGTGATCTTTGGTGAGTCACTGACCAGTGGAATTTAAGGGCCACTCTGGGGGCAGTGGGCAGACGATGGCATCTCAGGTTCTTGGCGCGGTCCTGGCCACGTGACACAGAGGTGCCTCCAGGTCCAAGTTCCAAATGGTGGTGGGCTCAGGGACACGTAGGCTGGAGTCGGCCCCCCCTTGCTGTTTGCACGCCTGAGCGTTCTGACATCTGTCCACGGATAAGGTGTGGCAGGGATGATGGGAACACCTGTGTGTGCGCCTTAGGTAACTCCGTGTGTTCATTGCATGTACGTGTTCATTGTGTGTGTTTGTTACATGTGTGTTCACTGTGTTTGTGTGTCTATCATGTGTGCATATCCATTGCGTGTGTGTCCCTAGCGTGTGCGTGTTCATTACGTGTGCACACTGGGCAGGATGCAGGGCCTGACGGGGGTCCTTCAGGAGTCCTTCCAGCCTTGAGAAATGCATCCCCTGAGACCCTGGGGTTCGTAAGGCGGGAGAAGGGGCTACCCAGGACACGTGGGAGTTGAAGTCCTTGTTCCTGACCCCTGGCCTCCAGCTGGGGATGGGGACTCTCCCCAGGAAACAAGGGGATAAAATGAGGTGGTGAGGGGGCCGCAGTCCACCCGCTTGTGAATCCATTTCACCAGGATTTCCCAGGCCAACAGGCCTGGCCCCTGCCATCGGAAGGTTGTGGTCGAGTCTGGGGCGAACACCAGGCACCCGGCAGGGCTGCACAGCCGTGGGAGACGCCGAGGAAGAACAGGGTGCCCGGTGTGGGTGCAGGCGTGGAGGATGGGAGGGACCGCTGCTGCTGGTGGTGGCGGGGCCCCAGGCCCAGACGAGCCTGCGGGAAGAACACACAGGCTTGATGCCGACTGTGGAGGGGGCGTGTCCCTGTCTCCCAGCCAGGAAGCCGTGCACAGGCTCACTGGGCTGGGACACAGGCTCTGGAGCCTTGGACAACACCAGCATCAGCTCCCCATCTTTCTCCCCCATCTCTGCAGGGGGCGGAGGAAAGCGCAAGGGGAAAAGCAAGAAGTGGAAGGAAATCCTGAAGTTTCCTCACATTAGCCAGTGTGAAGACCTCCGAAGGACCATAGGTAAGCTGTCCTGCCTCGAGGGTGCACGGAGAGGGACGGAGAGGGGAGCAAGGGGCCCGTTAACCGGAACCGTCTGAATGGTGAGTCAGGTACAAATCGATTAATGCAGTAAAGTGATGCCAGGTAGGCGCTCCAAGCTGATGCCTTTGCTAATTGATATAAAGATGCAACCAACATTCGTCGAGTATTTGGTGTGTGCCGGGCAGGATTATCTCCCAATTACCCTTTGAGGCTGTTATTTTACTCCACTTTGCAGCTGGGGAAACCAAGGCACAGAGAGATTCTGTAATTGGACTGAAGTTGCACAGCTTGTGGGAGGGCGGTGGAGGTGGGCCACACCTGGCCCTGAGCACCCCCCTCGTAGCTTTCCGCCCTTCCTTCCTGGGGCCCGCGGGTCCTGCCCTCAGGAAGCAGCCCCAGGCTTTGGGAGCTGAGGTGGGGTGGTGAGCCTCTGGGCTCCCCTTCCCTGCTGCCAGGGATGTGGGTTCTCACCGAGGAGCTGCCCTGCTCAGTACACAGCCCTGTCCTCTTTATTCAGCACCCACACGGCCAGGCAGCTCCAAGAGCAGAGGGCGCTTGTCTCCCTAGGGGCTGGTGCAGCCAAATGCACAAGGAGGGTCTATCTCCGGCCCCGCTCCGAACACGGCTGTGGTGAGGAGGCTGGGGGGCTGGACGAGGACTCTCTGTGCTGGTGGGAGCCCTGGCCCTTCTCCCCTCTGTGCCCAGGGTGGGGCACTCCCGCTTGCTGCATGAACGCGTCTTATCTGCTCCTGACTGCTAGAGGTCACGGATGTGCCATACTGTGTTTATTACACTCAGATCCTTTGAGCGTGCATATAGGATGATGCTGTTACCCAGAACTCCGCAGGCCCAGCTGCTCTTGAGACTTCTGCCCGGGGCACTGGGTGAACTGCTCTGCGCCTGCTGTGGAACGTGAGGCCACTCGTGGCCGTTTAGCTTTTCTGAATGGCTTCTCCGCGTGGCCTGGCCTCCACCGGCTCCCCAGGCCAGGTGGGACTCACATGCCGTCCCAGGCCTGCTCAGTCCTCTCGCCGGGCGGCCCCCTCCAGATCCTTCCATTGTGCTGTGACAGCAGGTGACCTGTTCTCTCTGTGCGCCCCACATGCCCAGCGCAAAGGAGGAGCTCCCTTAATTGGTGTTTATGAAGTGGAAGGAAGCCACGTGCATCCCACGAAAGCAGATGTGAGCAGGAAAGAAGTAGGGTGCTAAGTGGTGGGGAAATGACCTCAGACCCACCTTCCGTCCTTAAAACCTCAGGTCGGAGTCCCCACGGTGTTCTTGGGGCTGAGAGTGCAGGTGGCCTAAGAGGTCAGGGCCTCTGGGTCCAGGCCGACTTGGGTTCAAACCCCACCCGCTCTCCAGCCACCTGACAAGCTACTTAATCTTGCTAAGCCTCAGTTTCCTCAGCTGAAAACAGTGCTTATGAACCCAGTCCAGTGAGGCCAGGTGTGTGAAGGGCTTCGCTGGAGCCCGGGACCGCTCCCCTTAGCGCTTGACTTTCTTCCTGGAATGCACAACAGCTCCCACTCTGCTGGGCCACTCTTGTGTTGGGGGTGCCCAAGTTTGCCCTTGATCTGGAGGTACGTGGGGCAGTGGGGGGAGAGAAGATGGGCTCTTCTGAGGCTGGGGGGGGGTGTCGGGGAGGGTTTTGCCACTGACAACTCACAAGTAGCCTTCAGAGGGGGGAGAGGAGGGAGGGTCCCTGGCGTCGGCCGCCACCCTCCCGGGGCCACATCTGGTTCTTTAGGCCTGGAGAGAGTAGGGCCTAGGGGTGGGGAGGGGTGGGGAACCTCAGATGCCATGGTCTCCCGCACACTCCTGGGGAACCAGACCCTCTTCTGCATCCTCTTCGTCCAGGGCAAGCAAGTTCACCAGCTACCACATGCCTTTCCTGGATGCTGAGCCCAGCTTTTTCTCAACAGGCCCAGGAATGGCTCCCATTCAACCGCAGAGCCATGGGGCTGATCCAAGAGACCCTTCTGAGGTGTTGATTTGGAAGAGAGAACTTGAAATAGGAGGAAAGGACCCTCCAAAGTGGGGAGCTGTGTAGAGAGGCAGGGTAACTGCGTGAGGGCCAGTATCACCTGGGAGGGGCCCAGCAGGTGGAGCCCATTTGCTTCTCTGCCTTGGGTTAACTGCCCGCAGGTGGTGGTGTCTGGAATGGTCCTCAGGGCCCAGCCAGCTGTGAAGGCCACCGCCTCAGAGAATTTAAATTAGCTCCGGGCCAGGGTCTTTCAAAGCATCCTGCCCTTTTGTCAGGGCACCTCCCACCTCCCCACCTCCCACCCCCAGTTATTATTGGATGTCTTTTTGCCCCTCAAGTGCGAAAGTCTCCTCGAGAAGGATCTTTTAAATTCACCACCATGTGCCTGGTGCCTGCTTACAGGAGGAGCACAATAGTTGGATGAACGAGTGAAGGAAAGAATGAATGAAGTGGTATGAAGGAGTGAACACTGAGCTTCTGCAGTGTTTTAAATAAACGGAAGAGTGTTGAGAGTCATATGAGGAACATTCATGTACCTGCCACCTGGATTAAAGAAATGTTAATATTTTGCTATATTTGATTCATGTGTCTCTTGAAAATGGAAAACACAAATGTCAACTATAGGACTTCCAGTTCCAGACAACGTGGAGCAGATGCGTTGTTTCCTATCCCCCCCCCCCCCCCATGGGCAGTCCAGAGCTCTGGACATCACATATAAAAAAATATAAGAAGATTCCTAAAGGGACCTTTCTGATGGCGCAGTGGTTAAGAATCGGCCTACCAATGCAGGGGACACGGGTTCGAGCCCTGGTCCGGGAAGATCACACATGCTGCGGAGCAGCTAAGCCCGTGAGCCACAACTACTGAGCCCTCGTGCAACAACTACTGAAGCCCGCGCGCCTGGAGCCCGTGCTCGGCAACAAAGAGAAGCCACCTCCGTGAGAAGCCCGCGCACCGCAACGAAGAGTAGCCCCTGCTCGCCGCAACTAGAGAAAAGCCCGTGCACAGCAACGAAGACCCAGAGCAGCCAAAAATAAATAAATAAATCAACTAAAAACAAAACAAGCATTTAAAAAAGAAAACAAAAGAAGATTCCTAAAAATGGAGGAAGAGGCAGACTGGCTGGGATCTCAGGATGTGAGGAGTGATGTGCCAGTGAGCTCCTGGCTTTTCTTTTTTGCCTCCCTTAAATCCCAGGGACCAGGTGCTGGAGAAACTCACTACCCGGAGATGCCAATGGGTGCAAAAGAAAAGACACCCCCCCCAAAAAAAAGTCCTGTTCTCTCTAGCCAGCAGCCTGGGAAAAGGACAGCTGAGCTGAGCTGGCCCCTCCAGAACGGTCACACTTCGGCCACAGTTCACTCCAGCAATGTGGACGCCGCACTGTCTACCTTTCTTTTCACCTATCCTAGTGCCAGACTCAGAGACCCAGGGCTCCCTCCCTCTCCACGTCTCTCCTTTCTGACACACAGATCCTGATACTTGGCGGTGAGCGAGTTCTGCCGAGGTTCAATCCCCGACACCAACTCTCAGTGCCCCCCACTCTAGCCCTGCTCCCCATAGGGCCTCCAGGCATTGCCCCAGAAGGGCCCCAAATGCCCCTCACCTTCCAGTTGGCCCAGCCGCACCCTCTTCACTTCCGGTATGGGGGACCCCCTGGAGCCTAGGATTCGCCTCTGAGCTTTTCTATGTCCGTGGATTCCACCCCATGGGCCCCATCCCCATCTGTCCATCAAGGTCCATAAACGGGCCTCTTGTCAGGGTCCACTCCCCTGGGAGGGTGAGAGAAACGTGCACGCTGGCGTGTGAAAATGAATTCTTCTGTTCTCCTAGAGGGATTGAAAAGACTCTGTGTATGAGTGCAGTGTGGAGAGAGGCCGGGAAAACAGGAAGGCCGCCATAAACCGAGGGGCTGCAGCTCGCGGGGACCGGCCCCAGGGCTTGGGCCTTCCTGTGTGTTTACAGTCCGTCGCCCTGCTGTTTGCCTAGCCTCTGCTGGGGTCCTGCTGGAAGGCTTTCTTAAATAAAAATCTCATTTCTTTTCTAGACCAATATATAAACCAAACAGTGGCAAATGCCACATTTATTTTTCTTGTGGACACATGAGCTCACTTTCTGAAGCTCTTTGGGAGGATGTCCCAGAGCAGGCTTTGGGCCAGGGTGATGAGGCCCTTATGGGCCCAGAGGGCCCCGTGGGAAGGCTCTTGATCAGAGGGGAGGACGGAGACCACAAGGACCCCGTTGACTGGCCAGAACAGTGGTCTGTTAAAGCCACACCCTCTCTCGCCCCCAGCACTGCCCTGACAACCACAGGCCATCTCCCCCAGCAGCCAGGGGGATTCTGAGAAATGAAAACGGCACCCCTTGGATCCCCTGATAAAACCGCTGCAGCAGCTGCTCCCACCTGTACTAAAAGACAAACTTCTCACCGTGGCTTATGAGCTCTTTGGTCGTTGCGTGAAGCCTAAGGATCCCTTCTCAGAATAATGCTTTTACATACAGAAAATAAAATACGCAGGGTTGCAAAGGAAACCAGTTCTTTTCAAATAGATATTAGATACTTTAAAACTGTATGATCTTGAAGTGTATGTGCTTTTTTGTGATACTTTAATAAGGCCCAGCAGCTGGTCTAATAGCTACTGTAATCTTCAATTAGTGAGAGCGTAAGTGATATTTCCAGATATCTGCAATGATGGTGATGTGAATGGGTCTGAGATTTGTGTCGTTGACAAGTCCCAGGCACCGCTAACATTACTGTGGGTTGTTGTCAACATTTGTGACTCAATGAAGTGCTCATTTCCAGCTAGAGGCTGGTGAAGAGAGAGATGACATTTTTCTCCGTCCAAGTTCACAGACCCCCTGAATCCTATCCATGGACCTCTTGGCAACGCCCTTCCTACCCTGTCCTATGTGAGCCGGCCCTCACCTTTGTCTCAGTCACTCCCTCCTCCTCCATTCACTTTGCTGTGCTGGTTTGCCCTTTTGTCCCTTGACT